CCTGCATCAACGGGAAGGGAGGGATCTCTCATTGTTAGGTGTCTTGTCGCGACATGTACCCTTTCGTATTTCCTTGTATTTCCCTTTGTTGAAGAGTCTTCTCTCCCCCCCCCCCCCCCCCCCCCCCCCCCCCCCCACCCCCCCCCCCCCCCTCCCCCCCCCCCCCCCCCCCCCCCTCTCTCTCTCTCAAAACCACACAGTCCCTCTCCCCCACACACCCCACTTCTGAGCATCAGACTGTGCGAAAAGGTAAGAGGCAGTAATGTGGACTCTAGCCCTTTCCCTGAATAACTGGCATTTGATTTCAATCGGTTTGTACATTAATATTTTATGGTAATGTTTACCATCTAATCGGTGTCTGTCGTTTGGGTGTTGCCAAAGCGCTTCGTAATTCGTAATGGCAAATTACTGAACGTAAAATTGTCTAGTAATATCATAAACTGCGCCTCCTCCCCTTCCCGCATCACACACACACACACACACACACTCTCTCTCTCTCTCTCTCTCTCTCTCTCTCTCTCTCTCTCTCTCTCTCTCTCTCTCTCTCTTATCGGCGCTGGTTCCGTAATGCCATGTCTGTAAAGGCTAGGCCACATCCGACTTGAGCTTTTAATAAAATAGATTTGGTCGTGGCTAGGCAAATAACCTGCTTCCTAACTATTTTGAATAACGGTCCAGTTTTACGTCGACCAAGTGAAAGAGCTGAGACACCCACGATTACTTCTTATATTAGCTAAGCACTGCGCCACATAGACAATATTTGTTTAGGTCAGATTACTTTAAAAGGTTTCTCTGCAGTTTCTGCAAAATGTATTTATATATTAAATTGTAATTATGTAGTACCTATAGTGCTGCATTGTGGCCTTGCTGAAATAATTAAGTGTAAAAAAGACAATGTAGCCAGTATAACATTTTCAATCAAATTAAAATTAACTAAAATTGTCAATGGCGACCACATCATTCCTGAATACAAACACACACGCGCGCGCGCACACGTACACACATAATCTCTTGAGGTGAGGTTATAATGTTGGCATATATGGCGGCTGTCTTATGCTTTATATACTTATATTTTGCTTGTGCGGGCTTTTATATATTTATGGGACTCGTCTGTTTTTACAAGTTTCAGTTGAGACAGTAAATGATATTGTATGCGATTTTCGTTGGCACAAGAACAGAGCATTTCTAAAGTAACCCCTTTGCTGTGAATCTGGAACCACAAATAAGGACTTACACTTAAGGATCGCATCCCACAGTTTTGGAACCAACTAAAAACCATTCACTAAGAATCACTGTACCAGAATATATGTTATCTAGTCGGCGGAGAGTTTCTCGATTCCAGATTATTTTCCTTCCACACAGAACGCCTTCCCTTCTGCGTCTTTCGTTCGTTATGACTCACGTAGATGCAGATAGCAGCACCTGCGAAAATACACTAAGTTATAGTTTATAACCGTTCGTGTTGGGAAAACCATTTGAGAAACGGATGTGTTTGAGTCTGTTGACTATGAAATACCTGAAACTTTTGGACGAAGCCTTACCAGTCTGGACATAATCTCAGCCAATGTATGTGTGCCGTGCTGAAGCTTGGCTTGGTTATATCAAACTATACATCAAGACAGATCTTAAGTTCCAATGCGATTCTTACACAACTCGCTGATTTCTACGTCTGGAGAGGGGTAGGCCAGTTTTTGCAGCAGTCCGAGTTCAGATGCTACTTTAGGTCCGGTTTGGGAACAAAGTCTCTACATCAGCCTATTTCATATATATATATATATATATATATATATATATATATATATATATATATATATATATATATATATATATATATATATATGTCCTGCCAACTGGCGTATCCGCTCATTCGTCTCCACAGATCACGATCCCTAGTTGCCTGGAACAGCTCTCTTGATGATATCCCTCCATGCCATCGTTTCAGACTATACAGCATTATCTCTCTTGGTCTACCTCAACCCCTTTTTCCGCTGATCTTTTCAGTTGTCACGATAATCTCCAATGTCTCTCTTCTCAATATGTGGCTAAAGAACAGTATCTCCTTCTTATTGTTGTATATAGAGATCTACTTTCCTTAGCTTCTTTCAAGCAATTGTTGTTAGTAACTCTAGCCGTCCAATGTTCTTGTAGCGTTCGTCTCAGAAACCACATCTCTGTTGCTTCTAAATTCTTCCTAATTTTTTCACTGACATTCCAAGATTCGCTGCCAAACAGCACAACAGGTTTCTATGCAACATTTTAGCGCCCTCTTTAAATATATATATTTAAGGATTTTGCCTAATAAATATTTGTTAAACATGCTGGTTGGCTGCTCGTCGCTTGCTTGCTTGTTGATTGTGGCTGTTGGGTGATTGGTTGGCTGGTTGGGATTTCGTTTGTTGACTGTTTGTTGGTTGGTTGTTGGCTCACAGCGTTTGTGTATGTGAGAGAGTACTGAGCAATTTGGATAGTTCTTTGTAGTTTAGTTAGCAATGAAGCAATATTCCTGGCACAGAAACAACGAATTAATCCAGGCTTAATTACAATTATTTACTGCTGATTAGAATAAAAAAGAAAAGAACAAGGAACTGCAGTTATCGTGTTTTGTTCCTTCTTCTATCTTGTGACCTTTCACTATTGTCTTCCGTGCGTGAGTCATTGGTGCCTCTAAGAGCTCCCATGCCTGGCTCTCTGACATTTGAGTGATAATGCCAAGACGGTACAAACAATGTGGGAGACTTTCTTTATATAGAACATCTGTCATTTACAGGCTATAGGCGTGAATTCTGGCACTGTTTTCTTCTCGTGTTGGGGGTGAAGTACGTGAAGGACCTTTTTCACGCAAGTGGTGCACTGCGCATGTGCGTGCGTGGGCGAGGGTGGGTGATTCCTCGGGCTGCTGTCTTTACTTTCCATGATATTTCATTATCCTGCTGTGCCATTATGTCACATAGGGCTCGAAGTATATTCCTCCATTCCGTTCATGGATGCCATCCAGTCCAGCAGCTTTGACCTCTCTCTCTCATCAACATTCGTCTTAGTTTCGTTTGGGCTTCCTCTCCCTCCTAATTCCTTCATTTCCTAATTGTAATGCCTGTCTGGTGTTTCTCTGCTGGTTTCTTCCCACTGTGTGTCCAAAGTAGCGCTATCTTCTCTGTCTCATAACTGTTGATACTAGTTACCGGCATTCAGCCTGTGACATGGTTGACGTGTTCCGGTAGCCGTTAGGTCACATGACATTACTCGGTTATTTCTCATTTTAGGCTGAGTCGTCCTGGGATCCGAAATAAATTAAAACTTTTAAAATGCCTTGCTGCAAATGTAAACCATCCCCGTGTGGGTTCCGGGGCCCTATTGTAGGGAAAACAAGAATAGATCCACTGCCTACCCAAAAGCAAGTCGTAAGACTCGACTAATTGGGAGTTTTGTGAAGTCGGAGTGCATCTGCCTGAGAGGCAAGGAACCAGCAGTCTGCATACATGAGTCAGATCAGTAAAATGGATAAACACGCAACACTCAGGTTTTGGAACATGACTGCAGTTCAGAAGTGGATGAACAGCCAGAACTTTCTGGCAGAGTTTACAGCTGGTGAACGCAAAGAAGAAGATGAAATGTAAATCATCATAGGCCGGCGGCTAGACACAAACTTACTGCTGCTCCCCGTGTCATGGGTAAAGGACATTAACTTGTTGATTGCAGCCCTACTTTTGACACAAAGAAAAGCAAGCAAAAGGCCTGATCAAATAAAACCAAAACCACTGGCTTTATTGCAAGAGCATGAAATGTATGTTAAGGGACGTTGCAGAATGAAACAAAGTAATTGTTACGAAGCAAGCATGCGCTTGAGGTCGTCTCAAGAGTTTATCGTATTTTTAGACACGTTTCCTTCAAAAGCTTTATGTGATTATTATCTTCTTACAATCTGGTCATTTATCAAAGGTAATCACGTTTGTACACAATCTACTGCGTTGTGTATTGTCAATTTCTGATACATATATTCTTATATGCCATGATGTCTTTTCTCCTCTTGGTCTTTCTCTATTGTCCTCCAACTTTACCCGCATCTGTTAGCGCTAAGACAGAGAAAACTTTGGAGGAAAAAAGGGGATGGGGGGGGGGTGGCTTAAATTAGGTGGAATTGTGGGGGTTTAGCCACTTTAATTTTGTAGAAGGAACCCTCAAGGAGACTGAGTCCTATTTATCAAAACCAGCTTTCTCAGGGCAAAAGGGTTAACTCTTTAAGTACCAATCGGTTATTAGTTTTCAACACATTCTATACAAAGCAATTGCTGCTTTAAACCAGCGCTTTATTTTCTGGTGGTGTGCATTACTAGCACATTTTCTTTAAGACTTTATTTTCTCAGCGCTACTGTAATAGACAGTTTTTGGTGAGAACTAACACCTTTTTAAGACACTTGGGATGAGTACCGACACCATTTACAAAAAATTAGAAGATAAAAGCCGTATTTTAAACTAACAAAATAGAAAAGATAATAACTCTATTGGATGAAAAGAATTAAAATACCATTTAGGGCACTGCGGGATAATATAAGAACCGGATGTGGCACAAGGGGTTAAGAAAATTGGGCACTCTTCTGAATACCGGCCCCATATTATTCAAAGACAAAAAATCCCATTCAGGGCCTCAAGAGGTCGTTGTTAGGGACTTGAGAGGTCATGTAGTTAAAAATATGGAACAGGAACACTACAAACTATGCTTTCTTTTATTATATAATTTCGTTTGAACGAAATTACCGAGTCTTCCCTAGTATAGTTAATAAGCAGTCTGCTTGTTACGCCGGTGATCAGGGTTCGATTCTCCGGCGGTCAATTACATTTTTCTTTTTTTTTCTTCAAAAGGGTGGTTTTGCGCCTTTACTCGGTCAAATTGTATTATATAAAAATTTACTACCAAACGCCCAATGTTCGATATTTAATGGGTTAAAAGAAATGCATAGACTAGCTTTGATATTTGATCAATTCTTTGAATCTGATTCCTGCAGAGAGACCCAGAGCTTGAGGCGCAGGCCTTGGATTGGATTGAGGCCAATCTCGGGGAACCTATAGACAGGAAGACACCCTATGAAGATGTCCTTAAGGATGGGATTATTCTCTGCAAGTAAGAAACCACTTTAATTTGTTTGATTAGTGTGTTAATGTAGTCATTGTTCTTTTTATTTACTACTTCAAAAGTTTGCTAAGAAATTCATTTAGATGAAAGTCGGTAGCAAGAAGCAACAGACAGAAGAGCTGTGAGTATTAGAGATTCACAAATGGCAACATTCAGTTGGGAGATGGAACTTTATGATGATGATGAACCGTTTGATAAATATGGGTTGACTGTACTGGATTAAGTCAAATGCTGATTTCTCTCATTTTCTTTCTTTTTCGCGTTAACCTGCAGTAAACACTGGTGGAAAATTCTTGTTGTTGTTTGTCTACTTCGGAAGTTGGTCTTGTTCCAGAATTTGAGATTTACATGCACATCCGTTTTAAAAATTCAGCTTACTTGTATGCAGAGTGTTTTTCCTCACCTCTCAAACAGATGCACTGTTGACTTTGAAGAAAACTAGCCAAATTAGTCTTTTCCAGCGCTTGTTTGGGGGAGCAGTGGCCTATTCTGTTTCCTGCCAAGATGAGGCCCCAGAACCCATGCAGGATATATGCTGCACTGATATATAAGATGTTTTGTTAAATAGCAATGAATAAACTCGGTGCTTATGTTATTCTTTTTTCTTCTTACGCTGGCTTGAAAAAGATTATCTAAATCTGCAATTTTGTCTCTGATAGGAACCATACTGTCTGTTTTAATTCACCCAATGACCCGTAAAGTTTGGCTTGTACCAGTTTTTCTCTTGGCCAAATGTTTTGCCTTGATATTTTGTATTTGGATGACGTGATCTGTTGTCTCGGGTGCCAGTCCAGATGTACACATGGCTGATTCGCTAATGTTACATTTTGTGTACATGTGGGTGTAAAGTGGATTGTGCCCTGTTCTAAGGCGTATAATAATGATTTGCTCTGCTCTATCCATTATATGATAATAGTTTTAAGCCCGTTTTGGTGGCTTTCTGATTGATTTGATTATTCTCTTCTTCTGTTGAAAAGAGACTGCTACATCAGTTCTTTATTTGCACCCTCCTTAGCCATTTTATCAGCTCTTTCACTTTCGTCAGAAGTCTGTCCTATAGAGATCACAGGGAGGCAGTTGTGGTGAAATGCCAAAAAAGGACTCATTGCTCTCAAGATTATGGCAGCAATGGACATGGAACAAACAATGTTGTTCACAATGTTCCAGCATGCAATCCTGTCGGCAATAGGTTATGGACTTGGAGTGCTTACCATATCAAAAAGTCAGCTGATGAAACTTGAACGCATAGAGAATATGAAGCCATGCGGGTAATTCTGGGAACAAGAGATACCCCTGTAGTATGTATGTGATATATACTTGCACTGCCTACTACTGCAGATAGGCTCAAAGTTCTACAAGCAACGTCATATCTCAGAGTAGCTGCAGACAAGAATAACCTCTTGCATGAAGCCCTGGGTAGATCTAAGGGTCACAGACTGAAAAGAAGGTCTTGAATAGCGCAAACTGAGGACACAATCAGACATGTGTGTAGGCTTGATAAATTTGTGCGAGGTGAGGAGTTGGTCAAAGTATCCAAGCAAGTTTACGATTTGTGTAGGGTTCTTATCACTTTGGGTCGTAAGTACAGGGAGTGGCCAGCAGGCGCTGCAGAATCAGAAGTTCAACAAATGTTTCATGACAATTCCCGTCCAAGTGATGTGATTATCTATACAGATGGTTCTGTGTTGAGGGGCAGACGAAGTGCATGGGGGTTTATAGCGATGGCGAATGGACGTCGCCTAGTGCAACAAAGCCTGGCATATGATATAACAATGTCTAGTTTAATAATGGAAGTGGAGGCAGTCAGTACTGCTTATTATTTTTTTAAAAAACATGTTATTATTATGTCATTCAGTAAGCTTTTTTTCCCATCCAGTTGAAGTCTTTTTTTTTTCTTTTTTGCTGTCTGGTTAGTAAGTGGATATTTTAATGTTATCCAGTTAGCTATGCGTCTTTTTGTGCCATCAAATTAGCTAGATATCTTCTCATCCAGTTAGCTTTGTTTTTTTCATGCCATCCAGTTAGCTAGGGTTTTTTCCTTATGCCATTCACACTCAGCTTGCTCTTTTGTCCTGTAATTTATTTAGCTTTGTCTCTTTTCATCCTATCCAGCTAGCTTGGTCTTTTTAAGCTATAAATGAACTTTGTCTTTGAGTCTTTCTTCAAGGCAGCTTGTTGGATTAGTTCCTACCATCTAGTTTACTTGATCTCTTTTCAAGTCATCCAGTTTTGCCATTGTTTGATAAGAATTCTAGACCTTTTTTGTTAATAAAAAGAACATGCTAGCTACTAAAATATCACACCCCTGTTCTGAGTTACTGGTTTCTCTTTATTTATTATTAAATAACTTTAATTTAAAAAAAAAAAATTTAATTGATATAAGAGTTCACATATGTAAAACATTTCTTATTATCTGCAGCAGGTAAACAGTTGTAACTAATTGTACTCAGATGTGTTCTGTGTTGTTTTGTTTCTTGTGTTTCCTAGTTTCTTTCATGTGTGGTGGTGGTGTGTATGTGTTTGTTGTTGTGGGTGCGTGCATGTGTTGTGTGACCCATTAGAAGGCTAATGGACCCAAGAAGAAGAGGGAAGTGAAGAAGATAAAAGAAGAGAAGCTAAGGAGGAGAAAAAAAAAGAGAAAACATTTAATGGTGAAAAAAAAAGAAACAAGGAAAGGTTAAGAAAAAGGAACAAGACAAATATGATAAAGAAAATGAAGGGTGAAGAAAGAGGAGGAAGAAGATAAGGAAACCAAAATACTTTTTTAAAGAAAGAAAGATCAAAGTAAAATAAAGATAGAACTATAAAGAAGGAGAGTAAAGGAAAAATAATTTCATATGTTTTATTTCTTAATTGTATCTGACAAGGCATTTAATTATAAATAATATGTACATTTGCTTAACAGACTCATGAATAAACTGATGCCAGGATGCATAAAAAAGATAGATACCAAAGGTGGAGGCTTTGCTCTGATGCAGAATATTGAGCGATTCCAGGTAAAATTGTCTCATTAAATAATTAAGTTCTGTGTGGAGCCAAAGAAATGACATGGCTAGAAAATGCTTGTTGACCGTAAGTTTGAATCCACATAGAGGTGAGTTTTTATAATTGTCTTGAGCTTTCAGATCAACCAGCCTAAAATCGGTATTAAAACTTGAAAACATGTGTCAAATTCAATCAAGAGGAATGAGTATGATTCTTTAAAAGGGTGTCGTCTGCTAGAATCCAGGCATGTAACTGATAGAAATTGAGCCTTCCAAGTTATTTATCACACAATGCATAGGCTATTACCGAAATGGCAGAAGCTGCAGCAATTAAGACCAGCAATCATGCAATATATAAATAAAAAGATCACATTGTAAATGTCAGACTTCTGTGGTAAGCATGTGGTTTATCTTGAACTTCCTTTGGCTGGATTAAAATGTAACAACAATGTGATTTGTGTATTTCGTTTGAAAAGATTCAAGTCTTGTGCTTCATGTTGTTTATGTAGCTCTGTAGTAATACACCTGACTAATCCAGTGAAATATACCAAGCAATAAATTATACAATGTATTGTCTGTGTCTGCATTATTTAAAAAACAAAAATCTCACTCAGACAATACACCAAGGCCTTACAAATTCGAGTGGATCTGTAATAGTAAAAATGGCTTGGACATTTATGCAGAATGGGAGAGAGTGGGTCACCATGGCTGGCATGGGAGGCCAAGAAGCAGACCACCAGGATGATCCAGGTTCCCCTGGGAAGACAACATCCGACAGTCCCTCTCTGACAGAATAGTCGAATTGAGCAAAGCCCAAAAGAAATCAGCTGACAGAGAAGTCTGGCGATCTCTCTGGCAAACCTCTACACTCCATGGTTGATGAGGAGTGACTAGGTAAAAAATTTAAATGATATATATTTGTGTATGTCTATAAAGTGTATGTACGTAAAATATATATGGATGCTATATGTCACAGCATGCGGCCAGGCAGTGGGGAGTTCCTCCAAATGAGGTGTTCCAGACGGTAGACTTGTGGGAGAAGAAGAATATTCCACAGGTTACATTATGCATTCATTCACTTGCCCGTGTTGTGAGTACCTACATTTTTCTTCTTTTGCATGTTTTTTTTTTTTTTTTTAAATGTTTGCCTGCATCATTAAAACTTTAACAACCAGGCAGTTTTATTCTTCTGTGCTCGTTTACTTCTAGACTTTAGCTTTGTTCCAGAATTTGAGTTTTGCCTGCACATCTGATTTACAGACATGGCTTATTTGTATGCAGACTGTTGGTTTCTTGCCTCTCAGGCAGACACACTCTAATTTCGAAAGAAACCCATAATTAATCAACTCATGTGACATGCTGGTTAGGGAAGCAGTGAGTGTATTATTTTCCCCCTCACCGTGGAGCCCTGGAACCTACATAGGGAATTATGACTGTTAATCTGGCTGAAGTATTTTATTCTCAAAGAAACAATGATACTAGTTAGTTAGTTTGTCGACACATTATCCTCATTGCACATGGAACCACTCAGTCTTTATGTGCTCAGATCCCTTCCTCAGTAAATCCTGCAGTGTGTAGCGGCTAATGACACCAGTTATGTGTTGATTTATTATTATTTTTTAGCTACCTGCGTGGTGTTCTTGTTTGGTGACATCCCGTTTAACATGTTGTTCTTGCAGTCTGACCATGGTTGCAGATTCACAGTTCTCTGTTGGTTCACGCAAACATATTAACTATCTTAGACCATGCAGTATATCAGCCGAGCCCATGGCTTGTCTGGCTTTCACAGTAGCCTTACCTGCAAGTCTATCAGCTTGCTCATTTCCTTGTACCAATGATATATCTAAAAGCCATTCCTCCTAAATACTCTGATCCTGAAGACGTCAGTTTTTGTCTTCTATTGATGTAATCTATGAGTCTTCTGGTAGCATATGGTGCATAAATATCATCTCTACTATTCTTATTTATTCTGACATCATTCTTTTCCCAGTTTAATGAAAATGATCTGCTTAACTGAGGGCCTCACCATTAGATATGTGATCTTCTTTTCTACCTCTTGTTAATTCAGTCAGTGAGGGGTTGGTTGAGAAAGAAAGTGGCGGGGGAGAATTTGTAAAAAAATTTTAGTTTTGTGTTTTCTTTCTTATGTTCTGTGTAAGTTGACTACTATTTCACTAAGGTTGTTGTTGTTGCCATTGCACTATCTTTTCTGTGATTCTTTTCTATTAGACTAGTCATATTATATTTCTCCAAAATGGCTGTGGTGGTAACTGGTACCCTGACATTCTCTTACTGAGCTTTATTATCCCAAACATGTGCTGAAATCTTTAAACCGGTTCCCTCACTATGAAATTAAAGGTATTTAAAGTGCTCGTACACTTTGATATTTTTGATGAAAAAATAAGGCTTCCTGTTAGAATATGTTGGTCCCACAGAAAATTTATTTAAAAAACAACAATTCTCAAGTTTGAAAAGAGTTAACATAATTCCTGTTTAGAATTATACAAAATAAATAGCAGGAACATAGTTTACTTGATTAGCATTCTAAGATAGATCGAGTGAAAAGTAATGACTAGGTCAACATGACCTTCTGACAGAAGGATTAAAGAAGAAGAAGAAGACTAGAACAATATGAGTTAACATAAATTGTGTACAGAATGACAACCTCAATCTGGACAAAGCTGTATGGTACACAGGGAGATTTGAACTGCACAAAAGCTTTTGTCAAGGCTACTGGCCTCCTAATGTGAGTTTTTCTGATAGAAGGATCAAAAAAAGAAGGAGAAGTCTAGGACAAAATGATTTTAAGTAACATTTTCTACAGAATGAAGCTCCAGGGCTTTATACAGGGGGGGGGAGGGGGAGGAGGGGGGGGGGGGGGGTAAACTCACTGCCCTGTAAAATGCATGTTGTACAAGGCAACCAATTTTGAGAATTCTAAAATCAGATGTGTTGACTTGAAAAACATGAGAACAGAATGAAGTGAAGACGTAGCTATGACTGACTCAGTCCCCCACCTGTCTGTATCTTGCCCCAGTTGTCTTTATTCTGCCCTAGTTGACTATATCCTGCCCCACTTGTCTATATCCTGTGCTAGTTGTCTATATCCTGCCCCAGTTGTCTATATCCTGCCCCTGTTGTCTATATCTTGCCCCGGTTATCTATATCCTGCCCCAGCTGTCTATATCCTGCCCCAGCTGTCTATATCCTGCCCCAGTTGTCTATATCCTACCCCAGTTGTCTATATCCTGTGCCAGTTGTCTATATCCTGCCCCAGTTGTCTGTATCCTGCCCCAGTTGTCTGTATCCTGCCCCAGTTGTCTGTATCCTGCCCCAGTTGTCTGATCCTGCCCCAGTTGTCTGATCCTGCCCCAGTTGTCTAAATCCTGCCCCAGTTGTCTATATCCTGCCCCAGCTGTCTATATCCTGCTACAGTTCTCTACATCCTGACCCAGTTCTCTACACCCTGACCTAATTGTCTGTATCCTGCCCCCCCCCCCCCCCCCCCAGTGTCTGTCTCTAAATGCTTAACCCCCCCCCCCCCCTTTCCCCAAATTTAGTTGCATATTCTTTACATGATGTTGATTATCAGCCCCAGCATTTGTTGGCTGTTTATGATTTCACTTGGCAGTTTTACATCCAGTAATTTGCCCTTGCTTTCCAAACAGCCACCACTCATATCATTCCTGAAATCAACAGAAAGCAGCTGTCAAGCAGCCTGCAGCTGAAATGGACTGGGTATTTTGGAAATACAAAACATATTTCCTAACCCCTGAGCCACAGATGTTGGCTAATCTCTATACACACAACAAATAATACATGTATTCCTGTTACAGCAGACTGATCTTCCTGTGTTTTCTTTATGCTTCTTCAGGCCCAGACCAGAGCAGATTACAATGGTCCAGTTCTCGGTCCCAAGATGGCTGAGAAGCAAGAAAGGCACTTCACAGAGGAACAGCTGCTTGAAGCCAAAAACACAGTCAGCCTGCAGTATGGTACAAATAAAGGTGCCAACCAGTCTGGCATTAATATGGGCAAACCAAGATCCATTGTGGATTAAGTGACCGCTCACTGAGGTGATCTTGAAGCTATGCAATTTAGTTAATTTATAAAGATAAAAGGAAATAATTATATTATGTGTTTTTGTGACCAGATATTTGAAACTGGAGGTAAAAATATAACTCATTGCTAGCAATGGCATAGCTCCCATATAGTGATGACAAATACTGAAATACATACATTTGTTTCTATCTTTTTTTTTCCAAGAGACATTTCTTTTATAGTTCACTGCAAATATTTATCTTTGATAATTTAATATGGGGGAGTGTTATTATTAGCAACATAAATTTCAAAGTCTGAATGGAAACAAAGAAGAAAGTGCAGTAAACAATGAAAACAACAAGCAACCTTATTGAAATCTTGTTACCATGCATGTTTAGTTATAACAAACCAAATTTTAAAATTATTTTGACATTTTTTCAGAACATAACCTGTATTCCTGCACAACTATAATCTGAAAATTGTTGTAGAATTTACAAAATACAATAAATATAACATCTTGGGGGGTATACAGAAAACTGCTTGTATATCTGCAATAGTTTTAAAACACAGCATGATAAAAATGAGAATGATCAAATGCGGTGCATAATTAGCCCTAATATATGATGCAGAAACCATGAATATTTACAAGAGATTAAAACGTTTAACTGAGATCCAGGAGTAAATGTGGATTCATATTTCATGGTCACAAAAAAATCAAACAGAAAAGAGGGGCTTCTGAAAAAGAGAAATGATAAAAGAACAACAAAAAAAGAGACGACAAATGTTTTAGATCTATTACTAAACAAAGCACTTTTTTAACTGGATGGAAAAGTTGAAAGCAGATGAAAAGAGGTAGGCAGTGTTATGATGGGGAAAAAACACGAAATAATGAAATAACAGCAATCTGGGAGCGTGTACAATCTGGGATCCATTGTACCAAACTTTGATTGTGGAGATGGCACCTGATTGACTGAAGTGTTTCACTTAAAATATGTGTGATGGCTTGGAAGAGTCTGCTAGCGAAAGAGTTCTCAGCTCATTTTGTGTGTGTGTGTGTGTGTTTGGTTAGTATAATCATAGAATTCGTTTATTAGAATTTTCTTAGAAGCTACAATATTTGTAGCATTGATGTACTTCTGAATTGAATTATACACTTCTTTCATCATACTTATTGTTCTCTGGATACTTATGCTTTGTTATCTGAATTCATACTTTGTTTTAAGCACTCTTTAATAGTGTAACTGGGCACACAACTTTAATGCATATGATTTAAGTTACTTTGTTTTTTCATATTCTGTTTTTGTGTATTAAAACTTATACTTTTGACAGCAAAGCTGTAGTTACCATTTATACTTATAGACATGTATGCAGTCCATGTGTATATATATGTGTGTGTATGTGTGGGTAGTGGGGGGTGGGTGGTGGGTGGGTGTGTCTCTTTATATGTAAATGATGACATTTGCCTATGCAAGTACAACTTACCCGCAAACACCTAGAACAGGACACAATCCACTTTGCAGCCACATGTACACAAAATTTTTAATTGGTGAATCTGCCATGTGTACATGTTGATTGGCACCTGAAACAACAGATCATGTCCTTCAAGACTGTCCCAAATACAACATTTCAAGGCAAAACTTTTTGGCCAAGAGAAACATCTGTGCAAGTCAAACTTTACGGATCACTGAGTGAATTACAAAAGACAGTGACATTCATACTAGAGACAACATTGCAGATATAGATAATTTATTTCAAACAAACGAAAGAAGAAGAAGAACTTCCATACCTTGGATGGAATCGTCATCTCCAGGCAGCATGAGCTTTGCAGAACAACAATCTTGATCTGCTAAAATAACTTTAAAAGACAAAATCTTGTATAAATGCAATCTGAACTCAGACATACTAACTTATTTGTTTAATATGGGATGGCCTCATTTTGATAGGTGACTGATCTCTGAATAGGATGTTTGACTGAACACAGTGTTTGGGACTTTCAATTTAGGTGACTACTGTTAATTAGATGAGTGTCTAACGTCTGAATCAGATAAATGATTAAGTTAGGTAAATCAACAATCTCTGCATTGGGTGACTGACCTCTGAGTTAGACAAATGAGTTATAACAGATGAATGACCTCTCAGACATTTGAATGAATACTGAGTTAAACAAATGACTGAGCCAAATATGTGACTGAGTTATCTAACTAAATATGACACCAACTCATGAAAAACAAAAGATAAATTTAAATAATGTTTTGCCAGTTTGTTATCACCAGTTCCAAACTACTTAAAACTAAACAGGAAGCTGAATAAGGTATGGAATAAACCTTCGGAAGCAACCAAAGATAACTTGAAACAGAGCAGACCATATGCATACAGCAACACAACAATGTACCTGTTTGTGTGAGTTGTTTTTTTTTTTTTACATCTCTCACATTTTGCAGAACACATAAAGATGATAAAATATACCTACCATACATGGTATCTTTACTGTTAAAAGACATGCTGACATCTAAAAGCACGCTGACATCTAAAAGCAACATTACGATGTCTATGATGAATTCCAAATGCAACAGGAAGAGGTCAGAAATAACAATATCAGAAAACAAGTTGGAACGGAACAATTGCTAAATTAAATCAAGATAACATTTCATATGGCACAGAAAAAGGTCAAGACAGTGCACCAGAGAAAATGGATCATTACTGTTTGAGAAGAATAGTGCTGCAAGGAGTTAGCAGGGGATCTGGCCGATGCTCAGCACTCAAGGTAAAGGCGAGATGGATCTACAATCAGAGTTACTGATATTATCGGAGTTGGAACTTTTTGCTTGCTACTGAAGATGGGGACAGAGGGGTTATGGGAGTGTCCCGATTGTTAAGATGTCAATTTTTAATTCAACATTCAGTGCACCAGTGAGAGCCCTGTCACTTAGTCACAATGGAAGCAGAACTAGAGGTCGTCCTCACAAGTGATGGATAGATGGGATATCTGAGGCAGTTACATAGCACAAATTAAGGCTCATGCCAAATGCTGAAATGTAACCGGATCTGAAAGGCAACACAGAACTAACTCTTTCAACCACAAGGAGTTGTTACTTTAATTTCTTCTACACCCCCCCCCCCCTTTTTTTTTCATTGTTTAGCTTATAATTATAAGCAACAAATAATTTAGCCCGAAGGATTGGAGAAAAAAGTGTGTATCCTTTACAGGATATTGCAGAATCAACCCCAGCATTTTTTTTGTTGGCTGTTGCAGTTTTTCTAGGCTAATTTTTATGTTCAGAAGTTTGCCATTGCCTTTTTGAACGGTCGGCTCTCTGTACCACTGTTGAAACCTACACAAGACACTCTGCTGCCAAATCGCCTGCAGCTGGGATCGAACCCAGCAACCAGGCATCAAGCTTTCACCGACTGTAAACTCCAGCGGAAGGTTTGGTTGTTCATCCACCTCTGGACTTGAGACTTGTTCCAGAATGTGAGTGTTGCGTGTGCATCTATTTTACAGATCTGACTTATTTCTATGCAGACTGTTGGTTCCTTGCCTCTCAGGCAGATGCACTCTGACTTAGAAGAAAAACCCCAAATAGTCAACTCTTACGACATGCTTGTTGGGGGAGGGGGGGGGGGGGGGGGGGGCAGTAGGTCTATTCTGGGTTTTCCCCACAATCGGGCCCCATAACCCACATGGGGAACTGGGTGAAATAGAGCGCTGTATCTGTGTGGTGTGGGTTGTCGGCATAGTGTAAGTTTGTTGCAGTGTATATGTTCATCAACCTTAAAATTTGAGAACAAACAGTAGTAAATGGTGTGATCCCAATCCTTTCCATGGTGCGACTCTCACACCACTGCCTGAAAGGCGTAAAAGCAGACATTTTCTAAATCACCCATCACAGAAACCGAGACCTGGTACAGTTAGAATTACTTCTAAGCCACAGAAACTGAAAACTGGTGCGATACAGCATGCTGAATCTATCATATGTAAAGTAAACACAAACAGAAGTAGTAGTTCCTTTACATGCCAGTGGCGCATCGGGCACATGAGGCTAGCTTTGTAGACCAGTGGGTGATGTGGTCAACATCAGACCTGCCGATTTACTTCACATTACCTGACCTGGTCTGTAATGTGTGGTCTCGCCTGGCAATGCAGCCAGCAGTGTTGGGGGCAGCTAGCTCTCCTAGGAGGGTGAACAGTGAAAATTAGTAGCCTGCTGCTGTCCCGTGATAGCATAAGCCAACCCTACCTCCCCGTGGTGCAGACTGGAAACTGTATCCGTGAGGAAACAGGCTAACCATGAAATGGCCACCAGGAGAGGAGTGGGCCATGCCAGTGTTGAAATACTGCATGAGACGTACCATGCTGTTGACCGTGAAGTTCATCGCAACTGACTGCCAAAGGTGGAAAAAGATGATCAGACAGTCAACAGAAACTGGTGACACAACGACACAGTGTTACAGTATGATGATGATGATGATGACCTTGTACCCATTTAAGGCCGGGTGGACCACACAGCCAAGGTCGTCATGCATAGAAGAGAAAAATCCGGCGCTATGTTGATTTGGACCCATGACCTTCAGGTCCGAAGGCCAGCAGCTACACCATGATGGCTACGTTAATATGTATGTAAAATTAGGATAACATGTTTAGGAGGTCAACACACTGTGCTCCAGCCTCATGAACACAGATCAATATTCCTTCCCCTAACCCTCTCCCCCCATACACACACATACATATCCAACCAGCCCACAGAGACACAGAGAGTAATGTACAGTGAGAGAAGAGAAATAGAGAAACAGCCAGAAAGAAAGAGAGAGACAGATATAGACGGAGAGGGATAGAGATACAGAGAGAAAGACAAAGAGAGGCAGAGAAAGAGAGAGTCACAGAAAGAAAGAGACAGAGAGAAACGGAGAGAGAGAGAGAGAAAAAGCTCAACATTAACTCTTTCAGTCCCAGTCAATGCATGGAGTGTTGTTAGCTCTTTGCCTTGAATCACAACTATCATGTTGTGTCACCTTCCTTTT